CTCGCACTAAGTGCAGCGACAATAGCAGCCCCGGCGCTCTCTGGTTAAACAGCTGGGTAATTGCAGCCATTATTTGAGTGGCTCATATTAGAGCCGAGAGGCTGTGTGAGTGCACTGTGTGTGAGTGTGTGTTTGTTCAGTAACTTGCGCCTGTTCTTCAAAGTGGATGAATGGTGATTGTTAGTTTGCTGATGTTGAGTGAGAGAAAGAAAGAGAGACTACATTTGGTGACAATTATAGCTCTCCTTTCAACAGCAGTTACTCATATGACATCAGAGGCTCTGTTCAAAAGCTGTATGTAGTAAAGTATTTTATAGCCTCTGCGATTTGAAGTAGTTCGAAAACGTTATACGTAATTGTCGCAATTATTGTACTCAAAAGAGCTTCAGTTATTAATGGATTTACTGCCTGCCTAGAATCCCATTCAGCTCCATGTTCCTGTTGTATATTGTGCTGCCCACATGTTTAACACAGAGCCTTTTCCATTGGTTGATTCAACATGATGTTGAACATATTTAAAACAACAAAGCACAGTTTAGTGGCTTTTGCATTTTTGTTGCTTCAGTATAATTATACAAACCATTTTTATTTCTCAGACATTTTCAAGTAAAATATGCGGTCGAAAAACATAAATAAGTTTCATTTTTTTATGTACAAAAAATATAAAATACTGAAAATAGCTAATTATAGAGAATAACGGACCCTGTGAGCATCATCTCATTTTAGTTTGTTATATTTTTAAATGATGGTCTTTTTTTTGAGAGAGGAGTTCTGACTTTTTTGGCTGATAATTTATTTTCCTTTTATTGGACAAATACAGATAGATGACTGTTTTGTAACCTGTATTTTACAGGGTTACGTTTTAAATGTACAATCTTAAATGTAATGAGTAAAGGTAGAAAGGAGTACAAAACACATACACTCGGGTAAATTGCAAGTATCTCAAATATGTTATCATGTAAAGTATTACTGAACTACATGTATGCATTCGTAAAGGGAGGCTAAAATGAACCGGGCCAATTATTCTGTATATAATGCCACCAAGCAGTAGAATTAAATTAAATCCTGAAAGCCCTTTCTTTCTTCTCATCACATATGAGTACAGGTAAAGCCCCTTCTCACACTTAGAAACAAGAAAAAAGGTTTAGCATCCATTGCCATCTCTAATGAGCTTGGCTACTATAGCAACGGGGCTGCAAGCAGAGGACTGCCAATTAGTTGCTTCCTAGTTAGTTACGCTTCATTTGTGGGAAAATGTGTCTCCTCTGTTGGGCCCCTGTGGCTTGGCGTGCATGAAAGTAAGCATTGCGTGTCAGAACAATAATAGGAGGCAATGTGCTGTGAAATGCTGAAACGATAAATCATGTTCCCTTTGTTTTCCAGATAGCTTTCTCACCATGTGGGGAACAACTACGATGGCATTTCACTAAACCTGGAAAAGAGACAAGAGGCAAGGGCAGCAACACGAAAGATCCTTCTTTTGAATATACCATCATTTGGAAAAGGAATACTCTTTTTCCACAGTGCGTCCAAGGAAACAGTGAACTTACCAATAAGAACTTCCTGCTCTTCTTCCCTTTGACTCTGACCCTTGACCTTGAGCTCTCACTATGAGCAGTCTGTTAGTGAAGCTAGACCCTCGGAGGGTACAATGGGGCTCCACGTGGAACACCTTCACGTCCCGCGTCCTGAGGACCAAACCGGTGGAGTCCATGTTGGATTCAGCCACGACGGGCACAGGCGCTCATGGGACCAAACTGGCCCGGGTCTTATCCACAGTGGACCTGGTGTCGCTGGGCGTGGGCAGCTGCGTGGGGACGGGGATGTACGTGGTCTCTGGACTGGTTGCCAAGGAGATGGCCGGTCCGGGGGTCATTGTGTCCTTCATTATCGCCGCTGTGGCCTCCATACTGTCGGGTGAGACTTTTTTCCTGCCGTTCATTACTGTCTCTCTTTCGCACACACACACACACACACACACACACACACACACACACACACACACACACACACACACACACACACACACACACACACACACACACACACACACACACACACACACACACTATAACACATGAAAGGCCAAAGCATTAAGGTTACTGTCGTTTGTATCCCAATTAAACTGATATGATTTATATTAAGACCCTTTTAATAACCCTGCAACACGATCAAGGGCAAATACATTATTAGAGCAAAGCTATAATGTAAAAGGCACTCATGGGATGTTTTAGTCCTACCTATCCTCTACTATCTATACTCCAACATCTTTCACTGATGTGTGTGTCTGTGTTCTCCTCCGTCCCACAGGAGTGTGTTATGCAGAGTTTGGCGTGCGGGTGCCTAAGACCACAGGATCGGCCTACACCTACAGCTACGTGACGGTGGGCGAGTGCGTGGCGTTTTTCATCGGCTGGAACTTGATCCTGGAGTATCTGATCGGCACGGCCGCGGGGGCGTCGGCTCTCAGCAGCATGGCGGACTCACTGGCCAATCACACTATCAGCAACTTTATGATCACACACATCGGAACGCTCAGCGGCTTAGGTGAGTGGGGAAGGATGTGTGTCTGCAACTGCTTTAGATCCAATTAAAACAATATTCCTACTAAAAATATTTTTTTTATGAATTTGGATGAATATGAGATAAAGGTAATGTTGGAGCTATATATATCTCTTTATATTATTTAATAGTTTAACATTTATTTTCTTGCTGTTTATTATTATTATCAATAAAGAGATATATATAGCTCCAACATTACCTTTATCTCATATTCATCCANTACACATCGGTACGCAAATGCGCTTTGTGACACAAGTGACGGTACGCATTTCAGATTGTTGCCGCGCATGCGTACCTGCGTACCACTTATGTGCACCCCTGTATATAGCTCCAACATTACCTTTATCTCATA